TAATTTTAAGCCTCGTTTGGCAAACTACAAGTCACATATAAAGCATAGCCGTAGAACATGTGGTGTAGTTAATCACTTCATAGATGTGCACGGGAGCGAGCATTTCAATTTGAAATTTATGTTAATTGATAACAACAACGAGGACTTAAGAAAGTGTGAAAACTTTTGGATAGGCACTTTGCTTACTAATCTGGGGGGTTTGAATACCAGCCATGATTATTCCCAACAATAGGTTTCTGTAGGCTTTGTTTATATTGCTTTAATTAGTTTAATCACTTATATTGTTGTATATAAGGAGAGTAATTTACTATATTCATTTACTTTTTGACGAAGGCGGTGGCATGCTGCCGAAAATTTAAAGCTATATATATATTTTTTTATTAAATAATTTCACTTGGAGTCGTGGCAGTGTTATAACCTGTTTGTATATTATCTATGATTTGTCTGCCGAGCAGAGTGTGTACACTTGTTGTATATATATATATATATATATATATATATATATATATATATATATATATATATATATATATATATATATATATATATATATATATATATATTACAAATGAATTAAGTAGATTTAAAACTTTTGCTATTATAGTTCCAGTCTTTAGCATGCAGCAGCATATCCGAAAGTCCTTTTCATTGAATTTGTTTTAGGCTTCGACAACATCAGCATCTTGTTATTGCTTCTTAAATTATATTTATCAGAATTTGAGATTTTAAACATAGTTGAAACGTTTTCAGGGCATTGGTTTGAAAGGGCTTTGGCCACATATGCTAATTTTTGCTCCTTTCTTCTCTCTTGTTTAATTTCTTTGAAATATCAGTGGAGCGAATTTCATAGGTATCACCTGTGATTACTCTAGCTGCTCGGTTTTGTAGTCCCTGTAGCTTCTCTTTTGAACCTTCGCCGCAGTTTCCCCAAACCATCGAGCAGTAATCAAAACTCGGTTGCACTAAAGCCTGATAAATATATTTATGTGTTTCAATAGAAACAAATGGCTTTGCACGGCGCAGCATACCAATGCCCTTCGATACTTTTTTACTGATGTTGTCGATTTGCTCATTCCAACATAAATTGTCATCAATCAGTGCACCTAAAGTCTTTTTGGAATAAACCTGTTTCAATAGTCCCCCCCCCCCC